GTTGTTGCTATGGACAATCCATTAGAGTGTCATTTTTCGAGTACCTTAAAACGACCTCTTTAGGTGGCTTCGGATAGCTCTCCTGGCACTTGTCATCTTGATCGCATTATTTTTTGTCATAAGAAGTTCCGATCAAACCACAATAAATTTCAACGACAAGATGAACCATGAGTTTGTGGTCATGAAGGAAATGAATGTTAGCAACGTTGAAGAGGCAGAGCATGGACTTGCGGATGACACTTCGAGCGATGAGCTCGAGCCGGTGGATGACCATATGGAGGAGGAGCATGAGTTATCGGCGGATGATTTGTTCCAGTTTGAGGTAAGGGCCCATTGAAAGTTTTCTCAGAGGTCAATATGCAGTTATGCAGTTCCAAAGATAAACCGTACACTTACCTCCGAGGACGATCGGGAGGGACGGGAAAGAGGAGGGAGGGGAGGCACCAGGACAAGTACACCAAGGTGATCTTTAGACCCTCGAAAGGGCGCGAAAAAAAGGCTGTTCGATATTAATAGCTCGTCGCTGTCTGCATCTACGCCCGTGTATCCTCATGGTGCAGTATCTGCGTCGATACCGAAATCCTGCTGCGAACATAAGCAGCCAAATTAGAGAACAACGCAAACATGAGAGTGAGGAAACAATCAGCGCGTTCGGCGAAGGTTAGGCATATGGCTGGCCGTACGGCGTGTTGCGTGCCTGCGGATGTTAAATGCGTACGAGGCCCAAAAATCCACCATCTTTATTACCAGCTTCCATATTCGTGCAGCCATCAGTGGCAAATGTCAGCACTTCTACAGTTTCCAACCCGTTCTACTGGCACATGACAAGGCCCCTCGCCTGTAAAGGCTTACATCCAAGTTTTGTTAAGTCGTGTTATTCGTATACATGTGAATACCGAACGCGTGCCCCTGAAAATTCTGTAAAGTCCTGTCAGGTACCCTGTGAACCCCTGTCAAGCCCTGCAGCTATGTAGTGCCACATATCCAATGTATTGGAGCTAGTATGGCCCTTTGACAAGTTTGACAGGTGTTTGCAGAGCGCTTGATAGGTTATCAAGACTTAGGGTGTTGACAAGGTTGTCTGGTATTCACATGTATGGTGTTTACAGGATTTTGTATGCTAGCAAGGCGCTTACAGATGTACCCCCTCTCCCTCCCCATGGTTATTAACGACCTGATTTCCTCTAACACAGTTCATCTATAGTTCGAATGAGAACATCCACGATATTTCTAATCGATTGATGTCTAGCCACTGTCCGAGCAGAAAATCGCACAAGCAGCTGAGAGCTACCGCATTCAAGAACAGGCCATAGAGCGTAATCACTACGAACTCGATAACCTTGATCAGATCATCCTGAAGAACTCAGACGTAAGTTGACGGATCCATCCAATTTAACGTCTATTAGGACCTTGTTCTCCCATGAAGAGGATGATTTGACGCCATGTTTTAGCCGTTGCCAAATCGTACATTTGCGGGCATCAACTCCGTAGAGATGTGTGAGTCTGGACAAGCGGAATGTGTTCAGCCGTTTGCGAAGATTCGTCCTCTTATTGTGGTAGGTATGGCATTTCTAGAATCTAGGAAGGCACCACAATTGGTGGAAAACTATCTGACGCCGCGTCAAACCCCGCTCCTCTCCCTTGGCACGCACCAGCCTCCCTAGCGGACAATCTTTCTCCTCCCATGAACAATAAGTGTGTCGGTGCGTACAGACTAATTCTAAAAAGCAAAAAAAAACCCTGGCAACAAGAACAACAAGTTTATTGATGCCCATAAAATAAAAAAAGGGCGGACTGTAGAGGGAAGACTCAGGGTGTCCAGTCCAATGAAGACTTCGAGTTTTGCGACTATTTCTACGGAAATTAGTGACCTTTGCAAGGAGTGAATGCTTAGTAGGACCAGGATGTAGGGCACGCATCGCGTTGTGATAAATTCCTGAAAAGTACGGCCCCTCCTAACTTCCATCCTCCGATACGACCCCCCTCCCATCCTACCTACCACTTTCCTAGATTTTCCCAACTTCCTACCACTTTTTCCAGTTTTTCCGGCATTTCCCGAAAAATTTCTAGTTTTTCTCCCAGAATTTTGATGTCGAGCGGGGTGAGGGGAGGGGAGAGAGGAGGTTTCAGCAACAAACTACTATTTTCAACTATCAGAAATAGCAGTTTCATAGAAGTATGGCGGAGCCACCGACTAGCAACAGGGGGGTGGGGTATATACCAGTGAAAGGGGAAAAACCGCAAAAAGTCAACAACCGAGAAGAGTTTCCCCAACGCCGCAGAGAAGAGTTTCCCCAACGCCCCCTACCCTCAAAGACGTAATACGACCCCCTCCTCTCCCAACAACGACCAAATACGATTTCCTTCCCCCCTCTCTTCATAGTGTCCGTGAAACAAGAGAAAACATCCACCAAAAAATTTTTCTCTCATATCAAGTACGTCCCCCCTCCCTCCCTAGCGGCCAAATAGGCCCCCCGTTCATATTATCACAACGATAGCGTGCCCTGTCAGGAGAGAGCGGATCCTCAGCGAGGGGCGTGCCCTCTGTGCCATGATGCTCAAGGGGTTAGTGCACGACCATCCCAGTAGCGCCGCATATACTTCTTTGGATTGACAGCTTACGGTCTCTACTTGTTGTTTTGAGACTTATCAGGGTCAAAGCCATGAAAGGAATAGGGTCCAGCAAGAGAAGTTGTGGAAATATTGGACCAACCATGAATCATGAAATTTTAGACATCGCCGAATCACCACCTGATGTCATGCCTCATTCAAAAAACCATGTCCACAGTGATGTCGGCCATATTCTGTTTTCTTGTGCGAGAAAAAGAATTCATCGATGCCGGTCGCAGTATTCTTAGAGAATATCCTGACATACGGTGGGTTGTCTCTATTTTCCTTAAATTTTCTGTCATTTTCCTTGTTCTTCATACAAAGACGTTTCCATCGATTACCGAACAAAGGAGAAGAGCACAAACGCACCGTGAACCATATATTAGATTCTATAGTCTTCTCCACGGGTACTGTACCCTCAGAGAAACGCACACCTCCCCTCAGAAAGCTCTTTCACCAAGCCTCGCCTTCCTCCTGCTCAGCTCTGGAGCTAGGTCATTCATCATATTGATTTCACGACCTAGGTACACATAGCTAGAGCATTCAGAGATGGTCGTTCCGTTGAGCGTGAATGGGGCATCAGATACCAATCCGTTTCTCATGAACATCGTCTTCGTTAGGTTCAGCCGTAGACCGATTCTTCCACACGCGCAGTCGAATTCAGCCAGCATTCGTTCCGCTTGCTCGATGTTTGGCGTTATCAAAACGATGTCGTCAGCAAAGCGGAGATGGTGTAGTTGCCGACCGTCGATCTTCACTCCCATGCCTTCCCATTCCAGTTGACGCATGACGTTCTCGAGAGAGGCGCTGAAGAGCTTGGGCGAGATGGTGTCGCCCTGTCGGACCCCTCTCTTCACATCAATGATGATCTCCTTGTAGAATGGTGAAATCTTGGTCGTGAAATTGCTGTAGAGCTCACGAAGAATCCTGATGTACTGAGTAGGAATACCCTGGTTGCCCAGGGCTTCGATAACCGCTTCTGTCTCAACGGAGTCGAAGGCTTTCTTCAAGTCGATGAACGTGAACACAACGGCATCTTGTACTCTCGCGATACTTCAATGAGCTTCGTTACCGTGTGGATGTGATCGATCGTGCTGAATCCTCTTCGAAACCCTGCTTGCTCGCATGGCTGTCCTTCGTCTAGTGTTCTGCCAATCCTGTTCAGGATGACTCGTGTGAAGAGTTTGTAGACTACAGACAGCAGGCAGATTGGGCGATAATTGCCAATGTCGTACAGGTCTCCCTTCTTGTACAGCAACACAGTCTTGCTGTGCGGGTCTGATCCTGTCGGGACAAGGGACCGGGTGCCGTACGATTCTTCACCGACGAGATGGCGTGTCGGACTTCGGAAGAGAGAACTGCAGGAACGACATATCCATCCTGCTCCAAGCGGTATGGTTGCAGGTGGACGTGGCTGTCAAAGAGATCCGAGTAGAAGTCGTGGATGACCTTCTCCATTGCCCTTCTGGATGCGGTGATTGTTCCATCCGGACGTCGGAGGGCGGTCATCTTGGTCTTACAGTTGGCGAAGTCGCGGCGGGCGTTGC